AGGATTTTGGACAACTGGCGCCATGCTGCAATTCGGGCGCCACTTTCAAATACTGCATTTTTCAGTTCTGCCCTCGGGGCCTTTGCAGAAATGCCCCTGGTACCGTACGTGTCACCGGTACTTATACCGGCTCCCCGTACGGTATGGGGACCAATCTCGTACCAGTTCTCTGCTGCTGTACTTGTACTCAGTGTGACTTGCCGTTTCGGCATTGGGAATCCAAGACTTCGACTTCGTGCCTTGCCACTGTGTCTGCGTCCAACTCTCAGTCCGAGTCCGTCGTGTCGAGTGAGTGAGCGTGTGTGTGTGCTCTCACTCTCTCCCTCTCTCTCTCCTCTCCCTCGGCTCACCCTCAGCCTCACTCCCGTTACACTCTCCATAACCCCCGGCTCAATTAACGAACATTCTAAGATCCCAAAAGAAGAAAAGGAAATGATAAAAAAGGTTACATGACCTATGAATAACAACAACCAGTGTCAGTTCTTCTCTCCTTTGGTCTTTCCCACTCACACTGCCAAGCGATTCCAAAAATGAAATGTGATATGTGATTACATCTCTATGTTTTTATTCCTAGCCAACAGAGTGCAAACACAACAAGTAGGCTTTCGAGGAGGGAGAGACGCTGAGGCGAGTTGAATGACGCAAAGAGGAGGAGAAAAAGCAACCAAGAGATCTGACGAAGGATAAAAGAGAATAGTCGCCAAGCTGTGTATTCTCTTGGCCGCTATTCTTTGCTACGGCTACTCTCTCTCTTGGCCATGGCTATTTTTGGATATCATCTACTCCATGGCCTTTTGACTGACTAATACGTATCTCACACCCCCCACACCCGTTCATTCATCTAGCAGATACCTGCTCGCCTCACCTATTGCGTGCAATCTGACTAAAGCTTCCCTCCAAACCCTGTGTAGGTCCCTGTTTTGCGGAAATACCAGCAGCCTCATGCGTCTTGCCTTCGCTTTGTGTGTCTAGTTGGGACACCAGTTGGAGCACCTAGTTGGGACACCAGTTGGAGCACCTAGTTGGGACACCAGTTGGAACACCTAGTTGGGACACCAGTTGGGACACCTGTTCAGACAATGCCAGTTGGGACACCTAGTTGGGACACCAGTTGGGACACCTGTTCGGACAATGCCAGCTGGGACACCAGTTGGAACACCAGTTGGGACACCTGTCCGGACAGGACATCTAGTTGGGACACCTGTTCGGAAAATGCCAGCTGGGACACCAGTTGGGACACCAGTCGGGACACCTGTCGGGACATAGTTGCACATTGTTGGGACACTTGCTGGGACACCTGTTGAGATACCTGTTGGGACACCTGTTGAGATATCTGTTGGGAAACCTGGTAGGATACCAGTTGAGACACCAGTTGGGACACCTATCGGGACACCAATTGCGACACCTGTTGGCACAGCTGTTGTATCGTCCAGCTCTGAGGAGATCCACGTACATGAACCAGAGATCACGTACCCAGGAACATATCTCCAACCAGGGATACCTGGTTAGTAGTGGGGTTTCCCCTCTCCCAGATGTCCGCTGCCATCCCAGACGTTCATAATGTATGCTGCAGAGACTCTTCGGAGTACCCACCTTTCTTCTGCATCCTTCTGGGTATCTCTGCCTGTGTTGGAAATCAAAGAACCACCACAACTCAGTGTGAGCAAGCCATAAAGAGATCATATCCACCCATTCCATACAAGGGCTTCGTTCCACTGCACTAGCATTGCACCTCACTACATCGTCTCTGCCGCCGATGCAGAAAACACTACGGCGCAAAAAAAAAAAAAAAAAAAAAAAAAAAAAAAAAAAAAAAAAAAACCTCTACGGCTCTCAAGCTCTGCCTACATTGATTGTCCTGAGTCCAATGCGACGATCCTCTCCTACGTTCCCTAACGGAGATCACCTCCGTCATCTCCATATTCCATAATTACCACGAAGGGGAAGGAGGATGAGGAAGAGAGGTGATCCCCCAACTCCGAAGTAGATGCCGATGCCGGGGCAAAATGTATCTTATCGTATCTTATCTTATCTTATCTTATTATTTATTTACAGACATAATAATAATGCGTTTTTTTTTTTAATAGTAAGCTGCCTTCTCCTCATCGGGGGACAGCCATATATTTTTCTCTCACCTCACATATCTTTCAACTGGCGTTCTGCCATGTCATCCATGGAACATATCTTACTTTTCAGAACCTACCAGTACTCCTAAAATGCGTTCGTTCTTGGAGCTTAACTGAAAGACAGGACACACAAAAAAAAAAAAAAAAAAAAAAAAAGACAGGACAGCTGGCCATGCTGGACTCGAACGTGCGACCTGCTCCAGCAGATAGATAAGCAGTATTTTCACAGAACGACGTTTAATCGACTGCCTGCTGCCTTCCACACGCTGCTAGCAAAGCAAGATTTCCAACACCACACCTGTTCATCATGGAGGGAGAAGAAGAGGGGAGAGGAAGGAGGAAGAAGAGGAAGATGATAGGAGAAGAGAGATCCAAGTTTGGTTGTGTGTGTTCGAGGGGATTTTTTTTTTTTTAATTTTTTTTACCAACTGAGCTTTATGCACCTAAAAAAAATAAAAAGTAAAAGGGAAAAAAAAACTTTTTTTTTTTTTTTTGAGGGGATTGAGAGAAAGCAGAGAACGAAGTTAGAACGTACAACGAACCTTCATCTCGCTCGCTGCAGAGATGGGTGTGGGGCGTCGCCGGCCACGTGCCACGTGGAAATCGGTTGCTTGCTTGGAGATGACCGTATCGTTTTGAGGATGGACGACAACAATGATTATTAACCAATTGGAAGAAAATAGATAGATAGATAGAAGCAGAAGATGATGATGACACGTGTCACGTCACGGGACCTTCAAAATTGGGAACGCGATGACATCACGAATGCTTGCACTGTCTGTAAGCAACATAACCAATCTGTCGATCCCAAGTCCCATTCCCGCCGTCGGGGGCATGCCATACTCAAGAGCCGTCACGAAATCGTCATCCATCTTCACCTCGTAAGCATCCTCTTCCTCCTCCTCCTCCTTCTTCTCCTCCTCCTGCATTCCTTCTCTCCCACCATCCTTCTTTTTTCCATCTTCACTACCTCTCTCCTCCTCCTCCCCCATCTCCCCCGCCTTGGACTTGGCTTTCTCCGCCGCCTCAACCACCTTCTGATTGTGCGCGAGCACCTGCCTTTCTAGCCTCCTCCTCTGATCGATCGGATCCGTCAATTCCGAGAACGCGTTGGCCATTTCCCGACCGTAGATGAACAACTCGAATCGCTCGACGACGCCACGTCGGCTACGATGGGGTTTAGCAAGCGGAGAGATCTCGATCGGATGGTCCAGGACGAAGGTCGGTTGGATTAGGGTCTGCTCAACCGCTTGCTCAAACAGCTCATTCAACACGTGGCCAACGGAGGGGCAATCGGCGAACAAAGCCGAGACTGACGTGGACGTGGACCTTCCAAGAGCCTGCGCCGCTGCAGAGCGCGCCAATGCCACGTCATCATCGCCAAACGCAGAGAAATCGACACCTGTCACCTCTCGAACGAGGTCGTGCATCGTCGCCCGCCGCCACGGGATCGACAGATCGATCTGCACGCCTTGGTAAGTGATGTCCAGTCCTCCACAAGCCGCCAACGCACAAGATCTCACCACCTCCTCCGTCAGATCCATCATGTCGAAGTAATCTGCGTAGGCTTGATACACTTCCACCGACGTGAACTCGGGGTTATGCCGCGTGGAAATGCCCTCGTTTCGAAAGATGCGCCCGATTTCAAACACCCTCTCAAAACCACCTACCACCATCCTCTTGAGATGCAGCTCCGTGGCAATCCGCAAGTACATGTCGCGGCCCAAAGCATTATGATGAGTGATGAACGGACGAGCGTCGGCGCCGCCGGCAGAACCCTGCAGAACCGGAGTTTCTATTTCGAGAAACCCTCTTTCTTCTAAAAACTTTCTTAAAACGGAAGTGATCTTTGCTCTCGTCCTGAACACGTCAGCCACCCCAGGATTCACGATCAAATCGACGTACCGTTGGCGATAGCGTTTCTCGACATCGGTGAGACCGTGCCACTTGTCAGGCAGAGGGAGAAGGGACTTGGTCAGCAGCTTGTACTGCTTGATAACGACGGAGAGCTCCCCCTTCTCCGTTCTTTTCAGGGTGCCCTGCGCGCCAATTATGTCCCCCACATCAAGGACCCCCTTGATTCGAGCGAAAGCATCTGGACCAGCTGCTGAATCATCCAGCCGTTGTTTCTCGCAATATAGCTGGATTGTACCGCTATCATCCTTGATTGTCAAGAAGGCCAGCTTGCCAAACACACGGCGAGCAACAATGCGCCCTGCGACTGCCACGTGGTCGGTCTCCCCTGCCGCCTCAGCTGCGTTGTCCAGATCCCGGTACTTGTCCTGGAGCTCCGCCGCCAGATGGGTTCGAGCGAAGTTGTAGGCGAACGGATCAACGCCCTCGGCGCGCAGCTCCTCCACCTTCTTCAGCCTGATTGCCCTCACGTCTTCCCGAGATGACGTGCTGTCAACACTCCCGCCGATTGCCCCTCCCCCTCCCCGTACGCCTCCTCCTCCTCCTCCTCCTCCCCTTCCACGGCCATCCCCCCCGCCAGCGCCTCTCTGTCTGCTGCTAGCTCGCCGCCTCTCCGACTGCTGATTGCTTGCCACGTCATCGACAGCCACCTGCGCTGTCTCGCACCCGCCGCCGCCGCCGCCGCCGCTCATCTCCATTGCGACCTTCCCAGCATTGCGCGGGGGGATGGCGCAGGTGGCTGTCCCGCGTAGCCACGTCGTTTCCCGCGCGCAGTACCCCGTCATGCTATTACATAGACCAGTTCCAGACCGACACGTCAGCGGCACGAGCATTGGGGAAGAAGAAGTTTGGGCGGGAAACGCCGAGTTTGAACTTCGCATCGCCACCTCCACAGATTCTCCCGCCAAAACTTTTCCCGTCGTTGCTCGGGAGGACGAACCCCCAAAGAAGCTCTTCCGCGATGACCATGCCAACAACGGCGGCTCCCTTGCGGCGGAGATCCCTCCGACGCAAGGGAAGTATCGCCGCCGCCCTCGCAGCGACTTGATCAACGGCCGGCAGCGAAGCCCCGTTATCTCCGCCGGAATCACGGAAAGTGCCGACATTGATGCACAACACCGAGCAGGCAGGCGAACAACAGACATCTCTCTCTCTCTCTCTCTCTCTCTCTCTCTCTCTCTCTCTCTCTCTCTCTCTCTCTCTCTCTCTCTCTCTCTCTGTGTGTGTGTGTGTGTGTGCAGGCACGTTGCTGGCCAACCACCTTCGTCAGTGATCAGAAATGCCGTGGGCGGCGGCACGTGAAGCAGAGGTCTGGTTTTCTTGCTTTCTTCAGACTCTTTTTCTTTTTTGCTTTCTTCCTCCCGAAAGCGGACCTCTGTCGTAGGGAGAGGTTAATCTTGTGCGCGCGACCTGGGCGGCCCTGGCCTCACCAACGTGAACACATGATCTATCGTGATCCTGCAACCACGGAATGAAAGCAGCAGCCCTTTCAAAAATAGGAAATAAATACACAAACGGCAATGAAAAAAGGCTCCTAATATTATCATCGGAGTAACCAGCCAGTTTTTGTGAGGGACGCCAGGCCCGACTCCTGGCTTATAGTAATATACAGAGGAGGTACTAAAAAAAAAAAAAAAAAAAAAAAAGAAGAAGAAGAAAGAAAAGAAGAAGAAGAAGAGCAAACAGGTAAATTTACTTTTCTGTCTTATTTGGCAGGGTGGCCTTATTGCCTTCAGCGGAACCCATAGCAGCCGTATACTCCCGCCGGAGAGGCCATCACTCTCAGAAAAGGAAAAAAAAAAAAAAAAAAAAAAGGGCTGGTAATTTACGAAAGGTTGAAGCAGCAAAAAAAAAAAAAAGGCAGTGTTCAAAATTCAAATGTGCATACGGTTTATTTCTTGTTTTGTTTTGCCGTTCAAAAAGGCTTTCGAGCATGAATCTCTGAGCGTAATTGCGACCAGGTACACATTTGGAAGGCCTGGAGTGATTGTGCCCTTATCCGGAAAAATGCGAAAATGTGATTCGTCCATCCACCCCGACCCCCCTGTGTGTGTGAATTCTCTTCTATATGTGTGTGTGTGTGCCTCTGTGTCCTTTTCCTCCCACCTTGTTCTTCTTCTTGCGCGCGCTGAGACATGCACGTGCTGGAAGCTTTCTGAAACTTTTGATTGCACATAAAAGAGTCGCTTCTCTCTCTCTCTCTCTCTCTCTCTCTCTCTCTCTCTCTCTCTCTCTCTCTCTCTCTCTCTCTCTCTCTCTCTCTCTCTCTCTCTCTCTCTCCTGTGTCTTTTTCCTCCCTACTTGTTCTTCTTCTCGCCCATGCTGAGACATGCACATGCTGGAAGCTTTCTGATACTTTTGACTGCACATACAGGAGTAGCTTTTTGCTCTGTGCGGCATGCTACGGTGCATGCGGGAGAGTGGGAGTGGCAGCCCCTGCGTAAGTCGTGGTGCAAACAGCCAGGCGAGACGCACGGCGAGGAATGTGCGCGTTGAGCATTTGCTATCTCTGTGCTGTATGTCACACTTCTTTGTTCGTGCAGGGACACGTGGGGATTCGACCCCCCCGGCATGCAAATTATTCTGAAGAGGGATTCGAACCCCCGATCGACATGCAAATTATTCTGTAGAGGGATTCGAACCCCCGATCGACATGCAAATTATGATTCCTCTGTTCTAACCTACTAAATGCCCTCTCGATTTTTTAATTGAACTGATTTGAAATAGCGATACTTGGCGAGAATTAAAATTGAATTGAAATAGCGATACGTGGCGATTGGCCTCTCGCTTTTTCAATTCAATTCTTCTCCGTCTTTTCAGTCCCATGAACTGAACTAGCCGGGCTGACGAGGGGTTCGAACCCCCGACTGCGTTTCAATTATAATAATGGAGGAACGTGTTCGCAATCAACTCGGCCATTACTTTTCCCTATTCTTCTTCCTCACCTTCTTTCTTCTTCTTCACGTGAAGCGTAAGATTCAATTCTTAGCTGCGTATCAACCTGCAGTGAGGTCCTACATTGTGTGGTGGCTACGTCGACGCCTGTGTTGGGTGTGTGTGACTGGGTACACCGGGTCGCCGGGAAAAACGAGTACCCGTTCTGGGGTGGGGTGGGGTTAAGTGCTCATCTTGGGGCTTCACTTTCACCCCAGTCAGCTAATTAGCCGTTTGGTTGAGTGTTTGCCTCGTGACCGGGAGGGTGTGTGTTCGATTCTTGCATCGGCACGTGAAGCGTAAGATTCAATTCAATTCTTCTTCTTCGGGGATTGTGCGCGAGAGCTGAGACGAGTATGTGCGGCTTTGTAATGAAGAGCTTTCGATGCGTGTACGAAAGGCAGTTGGCCACTGTTTTCCACTATTCTTCTTCATCTTCCTTCTTCTTCTTCTTCTTCTTCTTCTTCTTCTTCTTCTTGCTCACCTTGTTTTCTTCCTCCTCCTCCTCTTCTGCTGCTGAATGTGCGGGTTTGAGCATGGTTATGTTATGTCTGTGTAGGCCTCTCGCTGTAATGTTCCTCTTTGAAACATGGACATGGATGCAGAGCAGTCATCCTTGCTATTTCAATCCGATTTTTCAATTCTTCCTCCTCTTATTCTCCTCCTCCTCCTCCTCCTCCTCCTGCTGCTCCTCCTCCTGCTGCTGCTGTTGCTGCTGCTGTTGCTGCTGCTGCTCCTCCTCTAAAGCGGTCCAGATATCAAAACGCAAAAAGAGGGGGGATGGGAATGACTAGAGCAGGTAAAAGGGAGGAGATTCAGGAGAATCAATTTCGAAATTGGAAATTACTTGTCGTTTTTTTTTTTTAACATCTTCCTCCTTTCTTTTTGTTTCGTCTCGCGGGTGTCCCCGACTTCATGGAATCTCGGACAAGACATGATCCCTTTGAGCCATGATGGTGGATTCTATAGGTCTTGCAAGAGAGAGAGGGGGGGGGGGGGGGGGGTTAATTAGCCTTTAGCAGATTTGCGTCTTTCAAGGGGCAGGGGGGGGGGGGGGAAGGTTACACTTGTAGCTGATGATATCAGTCCTCACGCGCCACATTTTTGTCTTTTTCACATTTCGAGAGTGGTGTGGCGAGGCCCCAAATCCTGACGGGATCAGATGGATAGGATAGCATGTGATAGCATTTGAGGGGCGACTCCCTTGTTGGGGTGGGGGAAGGAAGGGGGGGGCAAGGAAGGGGGAAAGGAAGGGGGGAAGTTGGGGGGGAAGTATACAAACATATCTTTTTTTTTTTCTTTTTTTTTTTTAACCTTTTTTTTAAGTACGCCAAATAAAAATAATAAATAAATAAACGAAACTCAGAGCATACGCAGCGTCGCGGCCTTGGTTTGAAGGGATACCGACAAGCACAAGCCCTGCCGGAGGAAAATACAAGCAGGCAAAGCCATCGACATAACGACGAACGGATGACACCCGTCCCTTCTCCTCCGCAGGCGCAACGTACCTACTGTAGCCCACCCCAGGCCTAACCACAGGTTTGATTTGCACTCCACCTTCCCCCGCTCCAGGCCGCGCTTCTTCCCCCTATCTCCGCCGCAGCAAGACAGCCCAGCCTCCTGGCCCGCCTCTTCTCCCCCTCTCTCCTTGCTGGTGTATTCCTGCAAGCCAGCCCGGCCTCCTGGCCCGCCTCTTCTCCCCCCCTCTCCTGGTGTATTCCTGCAAGCCAGCCCGGGGCTAGGTCCCACTTACACGAATTAAGCAATATTGACCGTAGAAAGCAAAGATCAACGGCCAGAATCTCTTAATCAGTGCAAGTGGGACCTTGCCCCCGGCCTGGCCCGCCTCTTCTCCCCCCTCTCTCCTTCCCGATTATTCAACAGCACGACCCTCTTTGCATTTGCACCCAATGCTGCCCTCTACTATTCTGCCTTAGAGCACTTGACATTTCCCCTGGTCGGGAGAGAGGGAGGATTCGATGCACCGACCACCTCGCACCTCTGTTTGTGTGCATCAGTGTGGGCATGGCCACACCACTCTCGAAATGTGCAAAATGAGAATGAACTTCCGGCTAGAAAATGACCAGATGCACGTGCCACATTTTTGTCTTTTTCACATTTCGAGAGTGCTGTGGCGAGGCCCTTTTTCTTCTTTCAGGGTTTCGAACATAGGTTCGACGGCAACGAGTAAGAGTGGTGTGGCGAGGCCCTTTTTCTTCTTTCAGTCAGGGATTCGAGCATAGGTTCGACGGCAACGAGTACAAGGCTATGAGTCTTAGGCTTGGACCCCACCGCTCGGCGGCTGGAAAAGTTTTGGCCTGGAAGGGCGTTTTCGGACCCCACGGGGCCGCCAGGAAGTTTTCCAGAGGTCTGGCGACGTAGATTTCAGACCCCACCGCCGGGTACAGCCTTGCTCTCGCACCACAGCTGTGGTGCAAACCTACCCCGTGGGCTGGGGAGAGATCCGGGTTGGTTGGTGTTCCTCCGTACTATATACTATAAATAGAATAGTGAGAGGATAAGATAAATGCGTACTACCAAGAAAAAGGACACAGAATATGAGATAAATCAGAGAAGAATATAGCTTACTTTTAAAATAAAATAAAAAACACCGCCAGCCGTTTCTACATGGCTGGCGGATGGAAAAGTGTCCGCGGCCGGCACTCTTTTCCAAAACGCCCTCCAACAGGGTAGGGAGGGCAAAGCGCCTGCGACCTGCAAAGTTTGTGTTCCCACGTGAGGCAGCAGCCAATAGCGATGAAGAGTGCCACAAAAAAAAAAAAAAAAAAAANAACAAAACAAACGAGTGCCAATGGAAACAGGCAACAATTGGCTCAACTGATTTCCAAAGGGTTTTCCAAGAGCAATTGGTCCTCGGTGGTGGGGTCCCCGAAAAAGTACTTTCCGACTTTCCCAAATGACTTGCCCCCTTTTCTTGGCCACACGTCTTTTCCAGCCGCCGGCTGGTGGGGTCCAAGCCTTAGTCTTCTAACCTCGGCCTCCTGTTTTTTTTAATCTGGTTTTTCTAACCTCGGCCTCCTGGTTTGCCAGGGGTACCATGGCTAGCCAGGAGCCATGGAAGGCGCTCCTCGATTTTTTTTTTTTTAATCTGGTTGGTTTGTTACCCTGGCTTAATTTGCCAGGAGTACCATAGCTAGCGAGGAGCCATGGAAGGCGCTCCTCGATAGCATGGTCCTGCGAAGCGCATGTGGAACGAGCAATGCCGGCGGTAGGGACTTGCGAGCTTGGACGGCTCTCCGCCGAGTTTGACAGGGCTCATGAATTAGCCATGTGAATTAAGAGTAGGTGTAGGGATTTGTTTGTTTATTCAAAGAGATGCAAATTTGAAATTACTGGCGAGGTGTAGGAATTAAAGATGGGGCGTATATTTATTCGAAGAAGAGTGTACCTGAACGGGGGGGTGTGCTCAGAGGGGAGGCCCGTGAGTGGGCAGATGTCCAATATTAGTCAGTTATGCGTGCACTGGCCCGCGGAAAGACCCAGCGCGTCTTCAATTCTTTCTACCTAGTCAGTCACTTTGCCGCCTTCTTTGCTCTTGCCACTTAGGAAGCTACTTTGGGTCCTTCAAATTTAATCCTACGTCTCTTGTTGTTTGTCCCAAAGAGCCTCCTTGCAAACCAGTGGTCTTCATATGCTCTAATTACATCCTCCTTCACATGCCTAGAGAGTTGTCTGGCTTCTCCTTGGAACATTACGATAATTGTCCTCTCTTTTAGCTTGGCTTCTTTAATCTCATTGGCCGATTCATCCACCACAAAACGTTTGCCTTTTTTCATCCTCCACCACAACTTCCAAGGAGGCGTCCTCTAGGCAGATACCTTCATCATAGCACTTATCCACTGAATCCCATAACCTTTGCTCATCCCTAGCCGATGCTGATGGGATTGGAGGTATATACGGACTGGTACCTGCCTGAGACGCCATTCCGCGTTCCGCGCACTGGCAACCAGGGCTGTCCTTAAAGCGCTCTTTGAGAAGCATGAAATCTAATTAGTGCCACATGTACGGCCATCTTCTAATCTTTCGTTGAAAACAACAAGAGCTGACCTTCACTTAGATGCCAACTCCAAATTCTCGCATAGCTTCTGACGTCTACCGTACTCTAAACTATGGACCACCCGGTAAGCAGTGCATTGAGGCGAGCCTCCATCCCCGAAGAGAGAATGCACACAGCGATGGTCGGCATCCCGTCACGATGGCGGAGGTGGCGGCCAAGTAGCTGCAGGTGCGGTACCTGAGTGCTACACTGCCCGGCCGGTACCAGCAGCTCCTCAGGAACACGTACAGATGGGAGTTGCTAGACCCTTCGTTCATTCTCTGGCTTGCTGGGAAAAAGACAAAAAAAAGAAGAAAGAAGAAAAACAATGACAGGAGTGGAAGACTGGTCGCCCGCTATGAGGTACCAGTCGCCCGCTTAGAGGTACTGGTCGCCCGTCGCAGCTGAAGTTGTCCACAGCCGGCATTCACAACCTTCTTACACAGGCTTGGTTGCCGGGCCTAAAAAGGTTGTTGGTAATGTACTGGTGGTTTATGGCCCAGTTCGCCCGGGGGGTTAAAACGGGGTGGTGGGGCAAGGCAGGGGCGGTTCAAAAATTGGCCCGCCACGAATTCAAAATTCATGGCGGGCCGATTTTTTGTACCGGCCCTGCCTTGGCCCGCCAGCGTGTACACTTTGGGCCTCGCCACACCACTCTCGAAATGTGCAAAATGCGAATGAACTTCCGGCTAGAACATGGCCAGATGCGCCTGCCAAATTTTGTCTTTTTCACATTTCGAGAGTGGTGTGGCGAGGCCTTTTCTCACGAGTCGCTGGGGGTGGGGGTCGTCAACACAGTCGTTGAAGCTTCGTCATCATTGCCATACCTCGCTCCTCGCAGTCAGATAAGTGTAAGAGAGATAGGGAGTCCGTCCCCCTTCGTTCCCTTCGCCTCCTCTTTCTCTTCCTCCTTGTGTCCTTCCTCTGCGTCTTCATCATTGTCGTGTTCGTCGTCATCCTCCTCCATCTTCTTCCCTGTCCAGTGTGTGCCATGTGGCACTTGGGCAGTTTTGTATTTTTTTTTCTCATTTCACTTTTTTTTCTCCGTCATCGCCCTCCCCCTCTCGCTTCTCCTCATCCTCGCTGGCCGTCTTCTCCTCCTCTTACTCGTTCTTCGTATCCTCTTCTTCCTCCTCCTACTCTTCCTCGTCCTGTCCACCCTCCAACACCTCCTCGACCTCCTCCTCCTCCTCCCGTGTTCACCTCTTGCCACGAGGCGCATGCACTTTTTTTTTTTTAATTGCTTGTTTTGTTTTTCTGTGCCACGTGGCACACGCTGAACAGGGAAGGAGGAGGAGGTGGTGGAGGAGAAAGAGGTGGTGGAGAAGGAGGAGGAAGAGGACGAGGAAGAGAAGGAGACAACGACGTAGAAGGACGAGGAGGAGGCGGAGGGGGAGGGGGGGAGGGGGAGGACGACACGTCACGACAGAGAAAGAAAAGAAAAGAAAGTGCATGCCACGTGGCACTGCTGAACAGGGTAGGCGGAGGAGGAGGAAGACGAGGATGAGGAGGGGGTTTGGGAGGATGAGGAGGAGGAGAAGGAGATAGCGGCAAGGAAGGAGGAGGAGGAGGGGGCCGAGAAAATCGAAAACAAAAAGAAATGAAAAAAAAAAAAACGCACGTGCCACTGATGGGAAAGAGGAGGGGGAGGAGGAGCAGGAGACGGAGGAGAAGGAGGAGGAGGAAGGCGAGGGCGATTGATTGTTTGTTTGATTGATTGATTGATTGATTGATTGATTGATTGATTGATTGATTGACCGACTGATTGGTTGATGATCTCTATGGGAAACGGGGAAAATAAAACAACCTGCGTGACGAGCAACATTCCCCAGACTGTTTTGGCGGACTTCACCGGCTCATCCGCGGGAAGAGAGAGAGAGAGAGAGAGAGAGAGAGAGAGAGAGAG